ATAAAGTATTCTTGCATTAGTTATCCTGAATCTTATATAAATTAGCTAGCTTGGAATGAAAATTGGAATTAGTTAGCTTGGAAGGTAGGTTGCACTACATCGTTTACTTGAACTATAGCTGTTGGAGTCAAATTTCTACAGAAATATTTTTCATGATACATCAAATGACATTGAAGAAATTTCGAAAAAACAAGAAACCTAATCATGTTCAAGTTAGGACTAGAATTTCTCGATTTGCGATGCTCCAATCAAAATTTACCACCTTCTGGTTCAATCATTGATCCCAGGTAATCCCGATACTGTATAGCTAGCTGGATACTTCAATTGAGGTATACTCCACCTGGAATAAGTCTCCCAGGATCATTGAATGCGGGACAATTGCAGTTGTGCAAATTTGGGCAAATGTACCACTTTGCAAATCTCCACCAGTATATTCTCTGTGTTCCATAACCGTACATAACTGAGTAATTGTGATACAGAGTTTGGAACCTCTGGTGTAGTAATGAATATTACTGGAGTTTTTCCAATACCAAACCGTTATTTCAACACCTCGACACGTGTTTCGATCACTAAGTAATCATCTTCAAGAGGAAGATCAAAAGCATTGATCATTTATACACACTTTGAAGCTGGAAAACAAACAATTGTTGTACTATACAAGGGATGAACTATGATGTCTATCAGGCCTTCTCATATGTCGCTGTCGTCTGAATCATCATATGCAGGAGCTAGGACTGTCGGAAGACGGTGTGTGTCGTCTCTGTTTGGAAAATGATGAATCAGCAGAGCATATACTTTGTCCTCGCCCCGCTGCAGACCAAATCAGGTTTTCACCTGACCATCTGACCTAAAAGATCACTCACCACATAAACTAATCGGCTTCGTTAAGAAGTTGGGTTCATTTGGTCGAGTGTGAATAGGTGTGAGCCACGATAAACCCTTGCGAGTTGCGGTGGAGAATCGAATAGACCCTCTCACTTTTGACCTAATCTAACCTATCTGACTGAATCCTCTGTGAAGCCAATATTTATTTCTGCATTTATTCATATTTATCAAATAGGTGTTTATTAAGTACCTATTACACAATGGTACCCACTATCAGAATGTATGTATATGACACATTAAATTGAAATTATACATTACAAATGATTACCTAGCTTGTTTTAATTACTGTTAGAAAAAAACAACTACCTACTTCTACCACTATGATCTACTGTCACTACTATCAGGCATTTTGAGTATCAATTACTCATCGTAGCGCGCACTGTCTAGGGAACGGAGAGCTTGGCGTGCAGTACATTTCCTAGCTCGTCAACGCAACCAGTAGCATTCACGGTGTAGGAAACGTAAAAATGCGTCTCGTCAACATACGTATAGGATTGGAACAATGAAAATGAATGGACAACCGCCCACTAGCCCGGCACGGCACAGCCAAGAGCGTCCGCCACCGGAAAGGATTCCAGCTCTCCGATCCTGTCCGGCAAATAACGGTACGTGCTGTGACGGACTGGCCAAGAGAGCACGTCGCCGGCCAGCGCTTGCCAGTATCAACTTCCCCAAACGTGCCTGGGAAGTTTCTGTCTTTCTATTTTGCTATTCCATCACTTGACAACAAGGTGTCAAAACGGTACCTATGAAAATGAACGAGGAAACATTGAGTTGCTTGTTAAGGCAGGCTCTAGAATATCCAAAAGTTCTGAAAATTTGCCTGGAGTCATTCGGAGACTCTAGAAAAATTTCTCCTCGCCTTCTTTCAGCTCGTTGAAAAATGATCAAAATATTTTGGTTCGTGAGTTGGACACACATCCTTTTTTTGTGACTATTTTCTTCTACATTCAATAATGCGGCCACTATAATGACGACTTCTTCGTCAAAATTGTTAGTGATAGACATATTTTCATTACCGCTCGAAGTAAACTGAAATTCCCTTGAAATCGAACAAACAGCACCTTCAGTATGCTGGTTGTAGCTGGACAAATGAGCGATGCTACTACCCATGGCCATCAGGCGACGGACAGCGCCGTGCTGTGCTGTGCCGGACAAGTAGGCGACAAGCTTTATCATCAAAAATGGTTGCTAAAAGCAGTTGATAGCAATTATTAAAGTGTGTTTGATGGGGTCAAAGGCTTTCGTATACTCAAGTACACAGCTGTGTTGAGATCTAAATTCCGACTGATACTTGGGAATAATACTATTTGAATCTAGGTATGCTGTAGTATGCTCCTTCAAAAAAATATGTTTTTCCGTTAGTCAGCTGTCGCCCCCATAAGAAGGACAACTCTCAGAAATTGAGAAACTTGTGCGATCTAAGGACTAACGAAGTCTCACCTTTTAACGTGTAATTCCTAACACGGTTGCAGAATCATCCCAACTTCAACCAGATGAATTCTCTCGAGTAAAATATCTGGTCGAGGCGGGAATCGAACCCACGGCCTTCCGATCGTGAGTCGGGCGCACTACCACCGCGGCCAATTTCATTGGATGAAGAGACTTGAAATCAGTTGGATTAGATGTTTTAGGTAAAGGAATAATAAATGAGATTTGAGGAAAGACATGATTACTGATACGGAAATTGAATATATGGGATATAATTGAACGAATCACAGGACGACAGTTCAAAAGCATTACACCATATGCTTTGGATTTGAGTGATAAAAAACTTTATTAATGTCCAAATCCATAGTTGATATAAATTCAGTTAGTTGACTTATCACCACAAGTATAAAATACAGAGAAAATAATGTTTGAAAACAGAATGAGAAATTTTGGAGGAAGTTGCCAGTGGCGTAAAGTTCCGGAAGGATTAAAAGAGTCAGGACACGAAAAAAAATAACAACCGGAAGAAAGTTCAATATGTGTTACCAGCCATTTCTTGGATTTCGAAAATAGCATCTTGTTCGTCAAGTCTGGATCTTAAGTTTCAGAAATATACAAAGTATAGATAAAAAATTTTGAAAGTGTAATGGCACATAATATCATAAACAAAGCCCGTCTAAGGTCCTCCATTAAATAGCCCCCTCAAGATTTAAATTAAATTTTGGAAAGCCTATACTCAACAATAAAATTTTGATTCGAACATATTTTTCTCAGCAGTAATCGAGTCCTTTTTTTTTCAGGTCCATCTGAAGTAATAAACTATTACCTGCTTTCCCTAGCTGTAGCCGATTTACTCTGCGGCCTTCTAGTGGTACCATTATCAGTATATCCATCTGTGGTGGGTGAATGGGTTTATGGAGACATAATTTGTAGACTGGTCGGATATTTGGAAGTTACATTGTGGGCCGTCACCATGTATACGTTCATGTGGATAAGTGTTGATCGGTACTTAGCAGTTAGAAAACCATTGAGATATGAAACCCTTCAAACAAAAACAAGGTGAGTTTATTAAAAGGAAAACGCACCCTTCCTATGAAAAATACTTTGTGGTCGAACCGCTTGAATTTTTTTTTTGGTTGACTCACTGATCAAAAGTCATTGTGCAGTGCATTTCTTCAATGCCCCCCTTTTATTTTTTGAACGGGTCAACTCACAAAATTGAAATTTGAACTAATGAAATTAATGCATACATACTTTATATTGAAGTAAAATTACTTCACAACTCTAGAATATGGTGGAACATTTAATAATTTCCTGAAGAGAAATACATTAATATCGATATTTCTAGGAATATTTTTTTATCTGCCATATGGTAATTCCAAGAACCCAATAAGGTTTGTTAAGTTATTTTTTGTTTATAAAAACGACAAAAAATATCTGTACGACAATGAACATCATTGTTCATTTAAAATATTCTCATTTAGTTTTCGGTTTTCTCAATATCTAGAAAAAAATGACGTTTGGGCAGGAATATTGGGAAACCATATTGTGGGACCTCTATTTATTGATCAAAATTCAACAGGAGAACTGTATTTGAATATGCTGGAAACTACTGTTGACCCTCTCATCACTGAAATCGTCGAAGCGATACCTAATGAATTCGATATGGATATTGTATTCCAACAAGATGGAGCACCACCACATTACTCCAGACGAGTAGGAAACTTTTTGGATACTATTTTTGCCGGTCGTTGTATTGGCCGTCGAGGTCCTACAGAATAGCCAGGCCGCTCGCCAGATTTGACACCTTTGGACTTTTTATGGGGCTATTTGAAGCAAAATGTGTACGAAACTGAACCTGCTTCAATATTGGATATACGACAGAAAATAGTAAATATTTGTCGAGATATTGACGTTACTGTGTTCGAAAATGTTCGGCGTGAAATATCGGATAGGCTGTTCATATGTCAAGAAGTGTAAGTAAAAATCTTTCAAAGAAATAAAAAAATATATATATTGTCTTCATTACAAGAGCAAATTAATTTCTTCTGGTGGTATAAAGCCGTAATGTTATGAACGAAATGAAGGCTTCGCTTCATAATGTTACCCAAAGCGGTACTGATAAAGCCATAAGGCAAATATCTTGTTCCGAAACGTCGAAGTACACTATTGAGGATTATGGTGTTCCTTTTCAGTATCATTTTATGTCATTACTCCTTCATATATCATATTGTGTAGCATTTCTACGAATGATGTCATGTCAAGGTAGTTGTTTCGAAAAGGTTTTTTTTTTCAGTTTATATCCGGAAAAAACTTCTGTTTATGCACTATATACCTTCATAAAGAATTTATTGCAGTTATTTGTTTTTGCTTTCATATGAAGCTTTCTTACATTTTTTTGTTCAATGATGGAGAATTGGAATACCAAAAAGCTTTGTCGCAAAAGCTGATATCTTCTAAAAATATTCCATTTCCAGTGTACATTCTGAAAAATGAATCAGACCTCATATCTTAAAAGTACGGTATCCACCATGAAACTACATTTACCATACTGGAACTTTCCGATTTTTACGATATTCTCAATGATAAAATACTTGTAAATCGAAACAGGATTAACCGGAAATGAATTCGAGTCAAAAATTTTGAATAGAACTCTGTATATTTCTGTTGATCATTTGATATAATATGTTCTTATTCACTATCAAACACATGTGACCTTTTCCATTCAAAAGGTCGGCATAGGAGCCATTTACTCCAAATTTAATTAAACGGCACTATGACGTCATACATACAAATGTGGTCAAACGAATTGATGTGGGGGTGAACAAACGATGAAGTTTTTCTAAATTTCTGAAAGAAAATTCAAAACATGAATCTCTAATACACGTACAATTTCTTAATTTCTTTTGAATGCCATATTTTACGTCATTCATTTCTAAAAACTTGATAAAAAGTAATGTTTTTTAAACTTTGACGTCTAAGTGCTCCCCATTCATTACAAAATCATGTCAAAGATACTAATCGATTCATTTTTGTGTCCCGGTGAAAAAGTAGAAGTATCAAAGCATATCATTGTGTTACTATACTTACTCATTTTTTCACTGCCTCAGAAAAATGAACAACATAGTATCATCGACATATTTTTGTAGTAAAAGAGATATCAAATGTCAAAAAATATCATTTTCTATCAAGATTTTCGAGATAAATTAAGTATAACATAAGAAATTATGAAAAGTAGGTAATTGGATCAATATTCGAATTTTTTTCAAGAATTGAAAACCGTCATTGTTTTTTTTTCTCCCTATATCGAATTGTTTGGCAATGTTTCTATAGATGACGTTATATTGAAATTGGAGAAAATGTTCCTACGCTGCCTTCTGAAATGAAAATGGCCTCATGTATCAGATCGTTGAAAATGTGGTTTTAAATATAAATATACAGGAATCTAAATAAAATTCGTGACTCGGATTCATTTCGGGTTAACTCTACATAGAGCTACGAACTATATCTTTACTCCGAACTTCAAATTTCTCACCTTATAAGCAATGCACATTATTCAATTCAATCGGGTATTAGTACATTGTGTTTCATTAATTCACAACATGAATCTAACGCAACTATATGCAGATTCCAATGGTGCCTATTCAGAATTATCAGGCAAATGTCCGATCCACGAATAAGATATGGGATGGGGTCTGCAGTATTTAGCAAATACCGAGATTATAGGAGAAGTATTTCCCATCTCTCTGTGGCTCTGCTCTCAAGCACTGTCACCAATCAGGTGAACAGTTCTTCCATCCCATTCTGAAGTTTTCCTACCTGTATAATTTCCACTTCAAGTTCCACAATTTCTGTTGTGCTGTTAACGTGTTGCCGTGCTTCAGTTTGTGAGGGTTGCGTGATTTTTCCTTGAATTGTATTTGGGCAGACGAAGCTGATGTGAGCAGTGGCATTTCCAACAGCTACAATTCTCATTCTTGGGCACAACTAAATCCTCATTCTATTGTGGAGCAGAGAAGTCAAGAAAGATTTGGATTTAGTGTGTGAGCAGATGTTTTCAGAGGTAGAATTATCGGCCGGATCATTTATATTAGCACTCTAACATCTCAGAGGTATTTAGAAATTTTAAGGCAGAATATTGAACCTCTTGTTGATGAATTGCCACTAATGGAACTCTGAAAAATATTCTCAGCAAGATGGGATTTTGCCTCACAACATTGCAATTGTCACCAATTTTTAGCTACAAATTTTGTTGATAATTGGATAGCCAACCAAAGACCCAACCGTTGACCGACCAGATCACCGGACCTAACGCCTATGGACTTTTACCTCTGGGGGAGGTTGAAATATATTATTTTCAAATTGCTGACCAATTCTAGATACGGATACGAATTGTTAGAGGCAGTGATGCAAAGTTTTGCTTCTCTCGCTCCTATAGAACTAATTAATTCGGCGAAAAACGTTCAGAAAAGGTGTCGCCTGTGTGTAGAAGATGCTGGTAGACATTTTGAACACCTTCTCTGAAGACAGATGTTTCATTGTTTGTTCTCTATCATTATTATTATTATCATTATTTTTATTAGTATTGTTGAAGTTTCATTTATAAGTAGTAAATATAGTATAAATTGTTAGCAGTTTTATTGAAACTATACAATTTTAATGCAACAATTTTAATTACTGCTCTAAATAGATTTCTCAACATTTGATAGCTACTACTGAACAATTTTTTTCTATTTTATTGCCGCGTTGTCCAAAGCCTACTTTTGATCAAAGTGTGCGTTTCAAAGTCTACATGAGAAAACCTTAAAACTCCGTATTTCAAAGATAACTCTAGCAGAACATCAAGTGTGCTACATTTTTGGAAAGGTAATTCGAGGCTCTATTGACTATACAGGGTGTTTCATTCAAAAAACTAGTTTTCCATCAACAACTATTGATATCTCGTTTGAAAAAATAAGTCCTTCACACCATTGAATTCTACGTAAAAACGTGATCTGCAAATGTTTTCATAGTAACAATAAATTGTTGACAGGAAAAAAGTTACAGCTATTTTTCGAAAACGCACATTTTCGAAAAACATGATAGATATCGATATACGGTTCTCACCATTGAATTTGTCATCAAATTTTGACCTTCAGACACAATCATCAGTTTTCATCTATCTAGTTTGAAAACTGGAGTTTTCCTTTAACAATGTCCAATTTGACCCAATCTTTACAATACTCTCATTTGAAAGTCCTCAGCCCAATCAATATACAAGCTGAACTGGATTCAACTCTGGGTGAGTCTGGGTAGCAGAGGCCGTACGACCTGCCAAGACGAGCATCTCAGTGGTCTACCAAATGAGGTGACAACTTCAAAAACGGTGGAAAAAATCCACAAAGCGGTACTGAATTACCAAAGACTGAAAGTGCGTGAGTTAGCAGACTCAGTAAACATTTCAAAAAGTGCGGTGCATCATATATTATCTGAAAATATTTGGACATGACGAAGTTGTGTCCAAGGTGGGTGTCTCGTTTGCTCACACTAGACCAAAAACAGTGTCGTGAAGATGTTTTAGTTGAGTACTTAGCGAAGTTTCACAGCAACAAAGCAGAGTTCTTGCGTCGTTTTATAACCATGGATGCAACATGGGTCCATCACTTCACACCCTAGACAGAAAACAACGAAAACAGTGTACTCAAAAGGGAGAACCTGCTCTGAAGAGGGCAAAGACCATTTTATCTGCAAACAAGGTCATGGCATCGTTTTTTTTTGATGCGCGTAGGATAGTTTTTATTGACGCTCTTGAAAAATGTAAAACTTATGACGGCGAGTATTATGCGAACTTATTGCAACGTTTGAGTGAAGAAATCAAGCTAAACTGTCGCATTTGGCCAAGAAAAATGTGTTGTTTCATCAAGGCAATGCATCAGGTCACGAATCCATTATCACAATGACCAAAATTAACTAACTAAAAATTGAATTGCTACCTTTTGCACCCTATTCGCCAAATTCAGCCCCCTCCGATTACTGTTTGTTCCCAAACTTGAACAAATGGCTCAGTGGTCAAAGATTTTCCAACAATGAAGAAGTGATGTAAGTAGTTGATGGCTATTTTGAGGAACAAGACAGTTATAATAATAATAATATCGTTTATTATGCATCAAAATACAGTAATACATGAAAGAAAAAGGGTTACCCAAAGGCTATCTTCCACCCTTCCCAAAAATTATAGAGTAAGTATAAGAAAATAATTATAAACATACTTATTTAGTAGCATAACAATGATAGAGAAGAGAAAAAATGATACATCATCTAGTTGCTAATAACTCTTAATTTTCTTAACATTATTTTGGTCAATTTAACAATTTCATTGCACTACCGTACATTGAATTTTAAATCTTTCAAATTAGCACTGAGCAGTAAACATCTGTGATTTTATTTCTTTTTTAAACTGATGAATATTATGATTTGAAAGGGGTAAAATTTCATCCAGATAGGAAGGGGCTATATAAGAAAAACATCCTTGAAATTTGGAAGTACGGTGTCTAGGCATGTTGAATGAGTTGATTCTCAAATTGACCATATGTATGTCAGAATGTTTGCCTACTAAACTATATAAATAACTAGGTGTTTTAGTTTGAAGCAACTTAAACAAAAACATTTTTATCAAATATTGGACTCTGTACCTCATATTCAGCTTCTTCATTTTTAACAAAAATGGGGTGACATGTTCACCATATGGTATACAGCATACAAATCGCATGCAGGCAGTTACGTTGTAACTTCTGTTTGTTATATTGCGGCAAAAAATTGTAATACACCGGACAGCAATACTCGATATGGGGGTAAATAAGAGTTTTAACTAACCTAAGTTTCATTTCTTCTGATAACTGATACTTTAATTTATATAGCGATTTGAGTTTGAACAATGATACTTTGAAAATGTTTGTCACATGTTCGTGGAAAGACAAAGAGCTATCTATGGTTACGCCAAGATTTTTAGCACTGTCTACCCAGTCAATGTCTGCGTTATCGAGAGTGAGCCTAAAGTTACACTGAGTTTCTACTATTCGTCTTTGAGACCCTATGCATAAGGCCAAAGTTTTATTAGGATTGATTTTCAGTCCATGATTCTCTGAGTATAGGAATTTTTCGTGCAAGTCTGTGTTTATATTGGCCACGCAACTTTCTGTATCGGTGTTATGAGAAGACAAATATAGCTGAATATCATCTGCGTATAGATGTACTTGACAATGTGATAAGAAAGTGGGGTTATCAAAAATAAACACTGAAAACATCAAGGGTCCTAAAATACTTCCCTGCGGTACACCTGAGACTGTTTCTTTTAGGGATGATCATGAGTAATCATCCAGTTTGACCCTCTGTGATCGGCTTGTGAGATAGCTGGTCATCCATTTAAGAGAAATGTCATCGAATCCTATAAACTTGAGCTTGCTGATGAGTAAATCGAAATTAACTGAATCGAAAGCTTCACTTTGATCAAGCAGTACTAAAATGATGACTTTTGATTGATCTCTGAATCTCGCAAGATCGTCGATTACTTTCAAGAGGGCAGTCTGTGTTCCATGCTTTTTGCGAAACCCAGGCTGCTCGTACGGGAGTATTCGATTTTCTTCAAGAAAAGCTCTCATTTGACGGGAAACACTCTTCTCGAATATTTTAGAGAATGAGGGCAGAATGTTGATAGGGCGTAGGTCACTGAACGTGGTAGGTGCATTCTTTTTCGGAATTGGAATTATATTAGCAACCTTCCAAACATCTGGAAAGATACCCTGTCTGAAGGACTCGTTGAAAATATGTTTAACTTCATCAATATAGTGTGGTATCACCAAAGAAATCATCTTGATATTAATATTGTCAATGCCTAAAGCATTAGATTTTATTTCTTTGATAGCAGTCAGAATATCATCATCACATATGTCGGTGAGGGAAAAGTTCATAGGAGCGTTCAATTTATTATTATTGTAGAATGAAAGAGTGTCATCATTTACTATCGAATGTCCAGCCAAATAGTTATTGATTTCTTCAGGTCTACGTAGTTCAATTGGCAGGCTATTGGTTTGCGAGGATAATTTTACAGTTCTTATTATAAATTTATATAGTATAAAAAACTGACAAACACGCTATCAAAGAAAATCGCACTAAAAAGTTAAAAACAATTTTTAAAGAAGCTTAAAACAATAAGGAACGAAAAATAGTGGTATTATTGTGAAAAAAGTGATGCTTGATATACAAAAAATATTGCACATAGCGCCTACGCCTTTTTCACAATAATTCTAGTATTTGTCGTTCGTCATTGTTATCAACTTATTTAAAAAAATTATTTCTAACTTTTCAGTTATAAAATCATATTTTTTAGTCTTTTCAAACTATATTTATTTTATCTAAAGTTTGGGATCAATCAGCCGTATATTGTTTAGAAAAATGACCATTGATATTTTCCGATTCCGAAGAGGGAGCCTGAAAATAAGCTACTAAGCCCAAGGCAGCAAAGAAGGGTCACAAATAAAGCAGCATGCGCGCGTGTTAATAAAAACAAATACTTTTTTCAAATGAAGATATACATGTAAAGTGAGTTGGAATTATATCAAGGAGGTTGAGTACGGCGCCATCTGCCCGCGAATAGATCAAGCAATAATGTCGATATATCAAGGAAGTTACATACAGCGCCATCTGCCCGCTAATAGATTAAGCAATAATAACGATAATTCTGTCAAATACAAATCCCGAACTTGGGAGTTACAAGCAAACAAACAAACAAACATACATACATACATGCATACATACATACATACATACATACATACATACATACATACATACATACATACATACATACATACATACATACATACATACATACATACATACATACATACATACATACATACATACATACATACATACATACATACATATATACATACAGGTGGAGCTAAAAAAAGCATGTTAAAATGGTATCAAACCTATTGAATGTCGCTGAAAAAAGTGTATAGAGCTGCAAGGAGCTCTAATTTTTTTTCCGAAATTTTTGTGTTTTCTTTGTTGGACTGGGTACTTCTGGTACCGCTCTCGTAGATGACAGCAATTAATCTGATCTGGGGATGATAATCATTTTGATATATTTCATCGTTGTTATCAATTACCGTTAGTTCAGAATTTTCTGAAACAAAATACTTTTCTGCACGAATTTGGATTTTTTCAATTTGAAAAGGGAGAATAATGAAGGAATTGTTGAATATTTATGAAAGCTCACTTCATCCATCAATATAGTCTCCTTGTCGATTCCAAATATTCATCTGATGTTCCATCATTCTTCATGCATTGAATACATTCTTCAATGTATTCAAAACATCTACATTGTATTTTCAGATGCCAATGTTGGATGGTGTTCACGTGGATCTCATCAGCTATGCTCTGTTGCCCTCCTCTATTAGGATTCACCAAACCCCTTTTCGACAAAGAGGCCTATATCTGCATGTTAGACTGGGGCAGTATGGCAGCCTACAGCATCACACTCTCTATCCTGATTCTTGGCCCAAGCCTAATAACCATTGTCTATACCTACTCGTACATTTTCAGCATGTTACGTAAGTTGAAGAGCGGAGTTCCTTTCCATGACAAGGAGTACGCAACAGCCTTGGCAGAAAATTTGTCGAATCCAAGTCACATGATGTCTTTTACGTTGATCTTGACGTTTTGGATGTCATGGATCCCCTATATCGGTGTTAAATTATACGAATATTTCACAGCACCAATGGAAAACCATCAGGTAATTATCAATATTTAAATTTCAGTTCTCAATACATACTGTTTTCCTTTTTTTTTCAGTATTTTATTATTCACACTTGTTCACAAAAAAGTTTTGAAGCTCTACTCAAACTGAACGTTTATTCTTTTTGTTTGTTCTTTTATTTTTATACAATTAGAACGCCTTAATGCAGGTATTTGTACTCTCCTTTCATCCGGAGCTGTCTTTAAATTTGCCTGTACTTTCAATACAGGGTGGTAAAAAAATACAGTTTTTTCGTTTGCTTGAAAAAGTTGCTGAAATTTGATTATTTTAAATGGAACACCCTGTATATTATTGAAAATTCTGAACTTTGCTGAAATTTGCTTTCTTTCTATGTATATCATACCTATACCTAACTAGTCAAGTTTCGGACTTATGAACATTTATTTGTGAAAAATTTTATAATTTTCACGTGTTGTTGAATAGTATATCCGTTCATGTTGATTTGGCAAAACAGACTGAATAAACTACAACTAATTTGACAGATGTAGCTTCAACAAAATGGTGGTTATAAGTTCGTAAATACCGGTTGGAAGACCCTACATAATATATTACATTTGAAGGACAGCCTTTGCTGACTAGTTAAGAACAAATCTTAAAAAATATATTTGGGTGATCAGCAGAACGGAAGTGTACTCTTATAACACAAGTTATTCCAATATTTCGATAAAATTTATTATTATCTTCAAGGAAAAGCTACAAAATATGTTTGGTGATAGTACAATATAAACATTTTTATGAAAATGCTTGACTTTACTGTTAGTGAGGATGGCCGTGTCGAAAAAAATATTACATTTGATCAATTGAAACATGTCAATACAACAAAACAAGTCACTACCTTAAAAGAGGTTGACTCCTCACTGATATAAAGAAGATTATTGAATTAATTTAATAAAAATCGTTATTCGTTTTAAAATTATGGATTACCGGTAAAAGACATGTGGTTGAAGAACAAAGAGAGATACAACAAACAATTCACAATGACAGCTGTCATGTGATTCAGTTTGAAAAGGTGTGTTTGTTTGTCTATGATAAAACTATGGAACAAAAGAGAACTGTTATGATGCAAGTGTGATCAGAAACATCTGCTGTTATATAAATAAATCAATGAGAAAACCCAATATCAAATATGCCCAATTCAAAATTAATTATTTCACAACACCCTTATTAGTTTTGAGGAAAACAAGTGAAGAAGTGTTGTTATATGAAAGTAAAACCCTGTCATAGGAAGGTTGGAACTATGTTTGAAAATATTTAAAATGTTATGAATATTAATGAAATTCCAATATTTCGATAAAATTTATTATCATCTTCAAGGAAAAGCTACAAAATATGTTTGGTGATAGTACAATATAAACATTTTTATGAAAATGCTCAACTTACTGTTAGTGAGGTTGGCCGTGTCGAAAAAAATGTTACATTTGAACAATTGAAACATGTCAATACAACAAAACAAGTCACTACCTTAAAAGAGGTTGACTCCTCACTGATATAAAGAAGATTATTGAATTAATTTACTAAAAGTCGTTATTCGTTTTAAAATTATGGATTACCGGTAAAAGACATGTGGTTGAAGAACAAAGAGAGAGACAACAAACAATTCACAATGACAGCTGTCATGTGATTCAGTTTGAAAAGGTGTGTTTGTTTGTCTATGATAAAACTATGGAACAAAAGAGAACTGTTATGATGCAAGTGTGATCAGAAACATTTGCTGTTATATAAATAAATCAATGAGAACACCCAATATCAAATATGCCCAATTTAAAATTAATTATTTGACAAACACCCTTATTAGTTTCGAGGAAAACAAGTGGAGAAGTGTCATAGGGAGGTTGGAACTATGTTTAAAATGTTATGAATATTAATGAAATTCCAGAATTATTTCTGGTTTGGAAATCATGTAAATTTTTATCAATATCTGGTAGGAAGGCATAGATTTCACTGAGGTGATCTACTATCAAGGCAATTATTTCATTATATTCTCATTTAATTTTTTATCGGTTGTGAAATTTCAAAATTATTCATCAATGGATATTAGAAGTTCGATTCTCCATCATTAAACACCATTTTTTTCTTAGGTTCTGCACTTCGCTATAGTGTGGCTTGGTTTCCTGAACTCCTTCTGGAAATCCATCATCCTTCTAACACTCAGTCCGCAGTTCAGGCTGGCCCTAAGGATTTTTTGCATGACGATCTGCTGTCGCTACAAGGGCAGGATGCAGGCAGAGCTCATCGGAATGGACGATGACTGACTACTCGGTTGTTTTTCCGGACAAATATCAAGATTTCCTATCACGGGAATTGCAGTGAGAGACTATGAATATTTAGTAGGTACGTTATGAATGATTTTCATACAAGAGCTAGATGAATAGTAATAATGTATATTGAAATTACATCGCCAGAAAAAATTAAATGGATGGAGATTTGAATTGCATTTGCAAAATTTTTTCTGGTGATTATATCACCAGAAGAATGAATCTATTAGTCAGAACTGGCTATATGTCCCTAAATTTCGAGTCAAAGTTGAAATTTTCACAATTGAAGTCGGATTCCACCACCGAATAAAACATTTAAAATGTGGATCTTCTGTGCTTCCGTGAAATTTTGAAGTGCTGTAAAAATAATACATATTAGGTAATGGATTTGGCTGCATATATGCAGCATATCGAATGCATATCGAATGCATATCGAATTCCGTCCGATACCTTTTCTGTAGGTGTACCTACCACTGAATTCGGTCCGTAGTTTTTCCTCTACAGTCAAGAGAATGCATTCGCTTTTCATTCTCGTTGTCGATAGTAGTCCCTATTATATAGAGACCGAGCGTTTAGACCGTAACGCCAACTGGAAGCAAGAATCTCAACTTCCTGGTCGTACTTATGAAATCGAAAACTACAAATTTAAGAATTTCCGAAGACAAAAATGCTTCATGTCAAAGGATCTAAATACTAGGGCTTATGAAATTAGAATCCTTAGGCTGAACGAAAATGAAGTCAAAAGCAAAATATTCACTGACTTCAAACGGAGGTAAAAAGAGCAGTCCAAAGATTTCTCTCAAGAAACTGAACTGTAATCACCGTACGGCTGGACTTGAACCGAGTTATGAATTTTATTTCTAAAAGCTTCGACCTAGAAGAAAACGACAGCCAGCACTTTACAGCAATATATAGATTTGTGTATCAAATTAAAAAAAATAAATTTAAAAAAGTTCATAGAACGTATGTGGGACAGAATATGCGGAAAGCTTACAGGGGAGGTTTTTCTTAACTATAAAATAATTTCATTGCATGAATCTGTCTCTTAGGGGCACAGATCTGTCACTTTTCGTTACCGGAAAGTGACCGATTATTAAATAATTTTGACATTCATAATCATAGCGGGCGATGAGTTAAGGTTAGATTAGGTTAGGTCCAAAGTGAGTGGGTCTATTCGACCCTACACCGCAACCTGCAAGGGTTTATTATGGCTCACACCTACTCAAACTCGACCAAATAAACCCAGCTTCTTAACGAAGCCGATTAGTTTGTATGGTGAGTGGTCTTTCGGGTCTGATAGTAAGAGTTCGGCTCTGCCGAACTGTATATGCTCTGCTATTCCATCATTAATGAGGCAGTCGGATAGTCAAGGTGCAAGATTTCCACCTTGATACTCGCGACAACCTTCCCACCTGACGATGCCTCAGATTCAACTGTGCAGGGTTTTTTCGCCTCTGGTTTTGGTGAATCATCTCTTGAGCGCAAACGTTTGCTAACCTGCTCATGGGGGGGTTTGTTCCTCCACCTGAGACAGATTCTGCGTACGCCGCTCAAGAATTTAGGGCAAGGAGGTTTTGTAAGGTATCCCGCTCTTCAAGAGACGACTCAGTCGTTTCCTTGCTGCACCACCAAACCTTTGTTTTTAGGTTCAGTTATTGGATCAAGAGTGAATTTACAGGGAGGTCAGTCGGAGTCGTAAACTCGACATCCATCTCCTCTATAGACTCTATTTACTCTGTCCATAAAAGTCCCACGAGTAGCTAGGGAATGAAGATCAATCACGGCAGAGCCCCGCATTACCGTGGCAAGGCGATGCTACGATGAGAGGGCGCCCAGTATCTCAAAGGTTCCGTAGAGACAGCTGATAGGCTCAGTGTCATTCTTCCAGCGGGGCTACGTGGAAGCAGGCATCTGATGGCCGGTTTGCTCAACTCCCACAACTCAAGCCAATGCACTCGCCAGAAACAGCATGCACAGTGGTTCGGGCAGTGGAAGATGAACAAGGACAGCCAATATGCCATGTTGACTACATAGTGGGCCGTACAAAAAATAAGTTGGATATTCAAATTTCGCGCGATACATATACATTCGATTAGCGATTTTTTCAAGTTGGTACATTTGTTTCAAACATATGTTCATGATTTCAGTTGTTTAGCATTTTTAGTTTGTTGGTGAGAAGCATAAAAGGGTTTTTTTGCGTGTTCAGCGACTTAATGCTGTCGAAAAAAATTGATCACAGAATTTGCATGGAATGAAATTGAGTGCTCAGAAACACTTGAAATGTTGACAAAGGCATACGGTGATTGTACTCTGAGTCAGAAACATATTTACGGCATAAAAAGTTTTTCACAGAAGGTCGGGAAGATGTGAATGACGACATTCGCCTTGGACGCCTCAGCAGATCAATAGCAGATGAAAATATTGAGAAAGTGGAGAAAGGTGCTATGGAGGATAGTCGAATCACTATGAGAGAAGTTGCTGAGGATATCAGGTTGATTCCTGTTATGCAATTTTTTCGTAAATTTTGGGCATGAAGCATGTGACGGCGAAGTTCGTTCCCAAATTACTAATTTTTACCAAAAAAACCGTCGCAAGAGCATCGCTCAGGAATTGTTGAATGACGTCAACGGCTATCCATAATTGGTGAAGTATCATAGTTATATGGTTATGACATCGAAACTAAAGTCCAATCGTTCCGATGGAAGAGCTCAGGAGAGCCAAGACCAAAAAAAAGCACGCACAGTTTGATCAAATGTCGAAGATTTGCTCACTGTTTTCTTCGATTAATGTGTCCTAGTGTATCAGGAGTTCTTGCCATATGACCATACGATCAATAAGGACTATTATCTTGAAGTTATATGCCGCTTGCGAGAAGCAATGCGAAGAAAACGTCCGGTATTATAGAAAAACAATTCATGGCTTTTGCAACACGATAATGCACCTGTTCACCTGCACCTGCTCTGATTGTAAAGACTCATGAAAGGACGATGGTTGGCGACAATTGGAGAAGATAAAAACCAAATAGCTAAGAGAGCTCAAGAACATACCTAAAAATGCATATCAGAACTGTTTCGAGGACTGGAAAATACGCTGGCATATCTCAGGGGGGCTATTTTGAAGGGGACAACAGCATATGCAGGAATATTTCTAATTGATTCGGCCGTTACTTGATGAAGATCCATAGTATTTTCTAAACTACACCTGAAAATTTGATCTCCACAAACTTTTTTTTACTTTATTTGAAGAATATATTACATGTTTCGCTAAAACATTGGCTTTCTCAAGTGATTTATACTTCCAGTTGTTCTCAACATTAATATTTGGTTTGTCAAAAACTACACCTCACGATTTGATCTCCACAAACTTAATTTGAAAATATATCACAACATGTTTCGCTAAGACATTAGCTTTTTCAAGTGAGGATGAATCACTTGAAAAAGCTAAATGTCTTAGCGAAACATGTTGTGATTATCCTCACTTGAAAAAGCTAATGTCTTAGTGAAACATGTTGTGATATATTTTCAAATTAAGTTTGTGGAGATCAAATCGTGAGGTGTAGTTTTTGAAATTACTATGGATCTTCATCAAGTAACAGACGAATCAATCAGAACATTATTATTTATATACTACAGGTAACCATAATTGAGACTACCTCCAAAAAAAATTAACTGAACTTAACGTACCTGTTCAATTATGATCACCTGAAGCACTCTTCGTTGGAGATATGATTTTCTTGTAGCAGATGATTTGAATATGTTGAATTTGTTTTGCTCGTATGATGTTCTAGGATTCGATTCCTACATGTCCTGCCCGTTTGACCAATATATACTTTAGGGCACGTTCCACACTTTAATTTATATACCCCTGATATCTCGAATTTAAATGTTTTGTCTTTATTATTTTTAACTAACTTTCCCAACGTATTACTTGTTCTATATGCAATTTTAATATCTCATCTCCTAAAATGAAGCCACTTTTTCCGTTGGTTGTCCAAAATACGTTAAAGCTTTATAATTTTGATTATCTTCCTCATCAATTGGAAAAACGTCTCGAATCGCTTTAGCGTAGACTTTCTTGGTAAGTATTTTGTTCATTAATTCGGCTTTAAACCCATTGTTAACCGCAATTTGCTTGATGATATCAAGTTCTCTATTGAAATTATCTATTGAAAGAGGAACATTGACTAATCTGTGAATCATGCTATTATAAGCTTCTACTTTGTGGAGATCAAATCGTAGTTTTTGAAAAAAAAAATGCAGGAATAACTTCAGTGAAGAATCCTGCACTGACACCTGTCGGATATAATCCAACGCCCTTCTTGGTATTAGCCAGGGGAGTAGTTGTTTTCTGATGGGTCCATCAACCTGCAATGTAGGGAGTTGAGACTGGCCAGAATGATTTGATTTATAGCCAGTCTTCAGGTCTGCTCACTGACTATATGTGAAAAGTTTTCTTTCCTTATACGAGGAATTAGGCAAATTTCGGATATGCACTTGGTACCCCGTTCACAGGTAGATGGGGCGATAACAAACCTATTGTTTGTTGTCCGCTTCATCCTAGGTCGAGGAATGATACTCTGAAGGAATTCGATTTTCAATTATCGGAAATTATCGACTTTATGTTGATGATAGACACTTCTTTGCACTGACGAGTGGCCAAACAGCCCGAAACCGGTCTGCAAGTGTATTCCAATAATTGAGAATCTATTGCGGCAATATATCGCCAACAGCATATGCAGGAATAACTTCAGTCAAGAATCCCGCACTGACACCTGTCGGATATAATCCAACATCCTTCGTGGTATTAGCCAGGGAAGTAGTTGTTTTCTGATAAGTTTCAGTCCATTTACCTACAGTGTAGGGAGTTGAGACTGGCCTGAACGTATTGTGGAGTTGAGACTGGCCAGAATGATTTGATTTATAGCCAGTCTTCAGATATGCTCACTGACTTTATGTGAAAAGTTTTCTTTCCTTATACGAGGAATTTGGCAAATTTCGGATATGCAGTTGGTACCCCGTTCACAGGTAGATGGGGCGATAACAAACCTATTGTTTGTTGTCCGTTTCATCCTAGGTCAAGGAATGAT